CCTTGAAATTGCTCTGGAATTTCCATATAACAGAAATTTCCAGAAATTGTAACAGCTAAAATTAAAAAAAAAATCAGCCAAAAATTTTAGACACTGTAATAATATTCTTAATTCAAGGAAAAAAAATCTTTCAGCGTTTACTTTGAGTGAGAGGGTTTCCCTTCGTGCAAGACCATTCTTTAATCATTCAATTTGATTTCGCGTAGGAGGTTCTCCTCAAGTTGCCAACACCTCAATGCAGGCTTCTTTTAATTAAATTTTACCGTTAATTAACGCAAAGAAACGTTGTGTAATTGAAAATATTATTATTGAGTTATTAATCGGGAGACTTCATCAGAGAGAGAGTTTAGCTTTTCAGTGTCTAGTTGATGGAGGTAAAAAAGTGTTCCATCCCTCGTTTTTTTTTTTTTTTAGAGAGAGATGCAGTGTCATGTTCTAAAAACCTTCTCCACCACTTTCCGTTTCTGACATTTATTATCACTTTCCTTATGCAGTGAACAACTCACAATCCTCGTTTTTCGTAACTGTTTTCAGACACTCCAGTCTGACCTTTTTGTCCGCATCTTCACTCACTCCTCTAGCTTTTTTCAACATTACCTCTACTTACCCACCGTGTGGAAATGACAAGTTGTAAAGCTTCAGCGAAAATGCAATAATCTTGGTACCCATGACTTTTATCCCGCCCTCCCGTTGCCGTCATCTCAATTCCCAGGGCGTTTATTCTTGGACCATAACCCTTTGGCTCTATGGCGCGTCAAATGACAAATTGTATTGCCAGCGATAAACCCTACCACTTTAATTTTTTTTTTTCATTTTATCGTTCATTGCAGACATTTTTTTTTCGGTGAAAATTGGTCTCAAGGACGCAGTGACAGTCTCAAACAACACTGGTATTAGACACTGTTAGAAAATTACTTTTGAAATTACAAGTAAAAAGTTGTTGTTTTTGAGAATTATTCGGTTGTTGAGAATTCTTTCTCATTCAATGTTTGTCGCAAAAAAATATCTCTTCATTTTGAGGGTTACGATCTCATGTTGAGACTTGAAAGTCCCAAGTTGTGACTTTCAGAAGTCAAGTTGAATACTTGAGAAAGAGTTGAGGTTTTTCAGTCTCAAATTGAGATTTTTTAATTTCAAGTTGAAGTTTTTGACTTCACAGCAAAAATGAATGTCTGAAATTCACATACTTTTTGTAGGCATTTTTCAGACACTAAAAAACGTCTGAATATAATGAAAATTTGTCTGAATTTCAGGCGAACAGGTGCCTAAACATCTTATTTGATGTTCGAAATCCAGACATTTGTTTTTCCTGTGTTGGAAAAACCTCGATTTTTACTCGAGTCTTCAACTTGAATTCTGAAAGTTTCAACTCAAGACTTTCGGGTTTCAGAGTAATTTTTTTCAATGCATTATTGAGGCATAAAAAACTTTGAGATTTTCAAAATCTTGAATCAAGCTTATTGAAAAATTCAAATTAATATTTTTGAAAAATTCCATTTAAACACTTTCTTCCAGAATAATTCCTCAAAACGAAATTTTCAAGATACTCCACCTACCAATGATACTTGAATATCAAAAAAATTTCCAACAGTGTAGCTGAAATAAATCCAATAACACAATTTTGAAAAACATGCCAGATGCGTGTGGAGTGATTCACTCGAAATTTATTCACGATGAATTTGCATTATTCACGTGCAATTGTACAACAATAATGTCATGTGAGTATTCGTGCACGTGCGTAACGGTTGGCGTGCTATTCTCCCTCCATTCTAAGTGAGGATTTCCATTCTTCTCTTCTAAGTAAAAAAAAAAACATCTCTTTTTTCCACTAATTGTAAGTGAAGAATCTTTCACGTGAATTTTCATTCTGATGAAAAACCTTGGGAGCAACATACCAAATACATTTTTAGAGGTTGTTTGTCCTCCGGCGATTAAAGAACGCAGGCCAATGTACACAGAGACACTTAAAAAAAAGGGAGAACAAAACAGATATGGCGGGGAAAAAAAGGGAACAAGGGGTTGTTACCAAAATTAATTAACGGTGGTGAAATCCAATAAGGGAGGACAATCGGGGAAAAATACAGGGGGTGGAGGGGGTGGGGGAGTGGAGGAACAATGGAGGTAATATGCTGGACGCAGTGCGACGACACGTGCGGAAAAGTGGACGCAGATAGTTCCGAGAGAGCGTGTGTGTTTCCGCTTAGGTCGTTAAATGTAGGTTTGCTCGCAGGAGTTTTCACGGCTACGTCGGGCCTGGTGTAGTGAGCACGTAGAGTAGTACTTCCTGGACGAGAATCTCTGGAAAAAAAAACAGCACAACCGCCACGCCCATGCGCGATAGTCACTTGTATTTCTAATTGTTCAATTTTTTTTAATGATGAAATTTCTTTTGGCCATTTTTCGGCTCATTTCGATCGATGCAGGAGGATTATTGATGACGGTGATAATTAGTAGCAGATGATTTGCGTGTGATTTATTGCGTGACTCGCACGTTTACGCATGGCGTTGTCTTAATTTATTTTGGGATATTTTCGTTCGTTGTTCTTGAATCGACAGGAATCGTCTGATTATCGATTAGGGAATTATTTTTGGGATTTTATCGCCTCTTTTTTGGGTTATTTTCCTGTCTAAATAATTGATATATTAATGTATCAATTTTCTATTTTATTGTTTGGGTTTCAAACTCCCAAATAAAGAGAAAATTTTTTTCTGATGGTGTGTTTGAAAATTTGGAATGATTAAAGGAATGAATAGTAAATAATAAATAAATACATAAATCATGTATTTACTGAAGGGAAATAATGAATTATTTTACTGATTTGTTAAAATTAAAAATTTGGATTTTCTTCCTTTTTCGGAATAATGTCTGCCCTTTAATTATTCGGGGCAGTGCATTCCTCCAGCTTTAATAATTTTCATGAAGATGACACTGCATGTGATCAACGCAAAACTTTGCACTCTACATGGCACCCCTCAAAGTACCGCACACACATACCGCGGGAGCTGTCTCGTTAAAATATCGTATTACTAGCCCACTCGAATGAGGCAATTTCCGGGGGACAAACAGACACGCAAAAACCACACAACTTTCACCAACTTCAACATGGCCTGCATTTTTATTTATAGTAACGGTTTTCCGGGTTTTACGTCATCGAAGTTTACTCTCTTTTTATTTTTCACATTCAGCGATGACAAAGTTTTATAGGTTTTTTCGTTACGAAGGGTATTTAGTTTAGGATATTTCATTGGTTGTGAACTGTGGAAACTTGACGATTTCGAAGTTCGTAATTGCTTCGTTGAGAAAACATCGAAATTTTTGGGTGGAATATGAAAAAGACTAGAGAAATTAATTCTATCGAAGTTTTTTCTTTTGGATTTCGCTCCGGAGATTTTTGAAAATCCATTGAGACATTTAACGCATCGTAATATTTATCGACAACTGCATAAGAAATGAGTGCAAATGTGTTTCGCATTTCCAGGGATATTTCACTGATTTTTAGAAATTGATTATCATTTATTGGCCGTAAAAATTAGTGACGTCACTGGAAATTATTAATGACAGATAGATACACGGTTAGAATTCCTTGAAAATTAAGCAGTAGTTGCACTGGAATTCTCAATGTTGTCAATTTGAATTAAAATGAAGATCAAATTCCGGAAATTTTTATCGTGTTCAAGTTCCACTGAAATTTCAGGAAATCTTGTCATTGAAAAATGAAATATTCCATTGATTTTCTGTTCAAATCATCTGGAAATCAATAAAATATTTGATTTTTCAGTTCAAGTATTCAGTGAAAATTCAAAAAATTCAGGGAAAAATTGAAAATTTATGTCATTTTGTTTCTGAATATTCATGGTCTACTGAAAATTCAATCAAGTTGTCAAATTTCCATCGCACTCTCACTGAAAACATGAATTTCCGTGAATTCTACTTAAAACTTGAAATTTCATAACCATTGTTTCTTTAACTGCGATTCAATGTCACTCTCATGAGTTTTACTATAATACGTTACATAAAATTTCAAAAAATTCCTAACAGTGTGAGTGAGTGAGTGAGTGATTGTTAAAAATTCCAATATTTTTTACTTGAAATTTCAGGAAAAAAAATTGGTGATATATATCTAATAATTGTAGTTGGATCCCCGAAAATCAGTGACCTGTCCCGAAAAAAAAATAAACAAAAAATTTATGAAATTACATGTGCAATTACGGATGACATTACGCAAAGACCATTCCATACGACAGTAAATGAAAAAATATTCTCTCAGTGCTGTTCTACACTTTCTCTAATTAAGACAGAATTACTTTCTGTCTTAAATCCCTGAAATTTTTTCTCATCCCCGACCAAGTGTCTCCTCATATAATTGTCCAAATGAAAAACGTGACACGTCACAACTCCACGAGTACATCAAAGCCGATAGGGTTGAGCATGATGGGATTAACGATTCTAGCCGTCATTGATGGTATAACGAAGCTCACCCAGTGGTTTTATCGACCTGCGGTCGGACGGGAATTACCATGAAACGAGCGGTAGTTGCTTGGAGTGCATTTGTATAAAGGCGGATACACTAAGATGTTTATCGGGTGGATTAACAGTGAGGGGAGAAGTAGGAGACAATAATGGGTGGAGTTTATTGTAAAGGAGACGATGGGAGTAGTTGAAGTAGATACACACCGGTCAATTTGGACACTTTATTCTCTCACAAATTTATGGAGCATTCTTACTCTTGATTAATCAACGGAGTAATCTGTATTTTTTTTATGGGACTTGGGGTGCTGTTTACTCGTGCTGTTTACTCGGATTCAAGTATTAAAGTTTTTATATACTTGAAGATTACTTCATGTATCTTATGTAATCAGGGAAGAAGTTCATCTCTAATTACTTGAGTAATGGTAATGCGGGATTCATGCTACCTCCTGACAAACTTTTAACACTATCTTGGTATTTTTTTGATAATCTACAGGGGCCTAGCTCACTGGGTTAATTCAATTAATCATACCAAAAGTTTTTTCGACTGCTTTCGTCGTATTTTTTTCATCTGCAAAGAAAATTATTTTATTTCATTTTTGTTACACCAGTTTTGGGGTATCATTGGTAGAACAATATCACGAAGATGAGATTATTATGTTGTAATTCTGCGGAGCAATTCGAGTTTTTTCTCTCGGTTATCTAATCCTAGTGCCACTTAATTTTATTTTCACTCTTGTACGATAGGAACACGGAGAAATAATGAGATAGGGAGGAGAAAAAAAAATAATAAAATGAGAATCACAGGATCGTTACAATATTTCCTGACTAGACTCGTTGGCTCCGTGAAATTTCATGGAAGCTAGGAGGTCCGACAGAGCAGAGAGAGAGAGAGGGAGAAAAAAAATACTTGGTAAGATTTCACTTGCTACAGAAGGACCACGTAATCACGGTAATTATTTTCCCCCTATATTTTTTTTTCTACTCCTCTGTATTTTTTGTTACAGCCTCGTTCAACTTTTTCACCAAGTGAAAAAGTTGGAGTTGAAAAATAAAATACAGGATGAAAAAAAAAATGCGAATTAACGAGTGAAAGAGCAAGTGGGCAAAGTCACTGGCAAGTGCTGCTTTCAGATTGTCCCCCGTGTAAATCCGGTCATTATTTTTCCGGGGTTTTTACACGGCCATTACTCTATTACCTGTAACGTCATTGAATTAAATGGAGTTGTGGGCGATGTAAAAAAAAATGCTGAAAAATTGAGTTAGAGTTAACTGGAGACCAATCGATATAAATGCCCCGAATGAGTGTCTAAGTGTTGTCCAACCGGAGGAAAGATATATTTATGCCCCGAAAAAAAGTCTATAAAACAATTCCCCACCAATGAAAGAAGATTGTCGAATAGATTGGGCTTGACGAATTGAACATGATGCCTTCAAATCGAGAGATCCACCCATGGGAATCCTCCATCGCCGTAGGGTGACATCCTAACGAGCAGGGATTCCCATTTTCCTATCACCGAGAACGATCAAATAAATTTTCCAGAGAAAAAAAAAACGCCAAGAAGGCGGGGGAAGAAGAATCCCCCATAAATAACTGAGTAGAAATTTCCCGTTTTCCATCCCATAACACTGTCTCCACTGATGTGTGTCTCCACAACCTCGTCAAATTTCGCCCGGGAAAACACGATACGCTTTTCCGGCGGTACGATATGCCCTCAGAAATCGACCAATTTGCTCAGATGCGCTCTCATGCTTGTGATAACATTATCGTTGCCCATTCTCTCACCTCTCTCTCTCTCTCTCTCTCTCTCTCTCTCTCTCTCTC